GGGGCATCATAACAGGCGTGACAGGGGCTTTGATCACAGGGCAAAACCTCACAGTGGGAATTCTTAGAAAAGGTTGATGAATTTTACAACACTCTCCATCTGAACAGGAGACGCGTTCAAATAAGAGGCTGCCTTGTCTTGGATGCACACACACACACACACACACACACACACACACACACAGACACACTGCAAACACAACTTGGGGCAGACAGCAGCCCCGTTTCTCAGCTACTTTCCCATTGGTTCCTCGGACTCCTTCAGGGCTTAATGAGCGTGGACTGGCCCCCCACCTTTGGACACAGTTGGCCCTGCTGGGGCCCCAGACCTTGGGACATTGCTCCCCACTGGGTGGGCAGCGGGGCCCTCAGCGGGGAGATTTCCCTGGAGGAATGAAGCGGGAGACTTACAGCAGACGCAGGGAGCGCAGCCCCTGGAAGGCCAGCGGAGGGATGCACTGGAGGGCATTGTAGCTGAGGATCCTGAGGGAAGGGAGAAAGGGGAGGGAGGGAGAGAGGGAGGAGAAAGAGGGGGGCAAAGAAAAAGAATTGGTGTTCGCCTGGCTGCGGGGCTGGGAGGGGCGGGAGGATTATCAGGGGCCACGAGGAGACTTCTGGGGGTGACAGAAGTGGTCACAATCTTGATTGTGGCGGCGGCTCCATGGGTGTGAGCGTAAGTCAAAATGCATCAAATGATACAATGAAGTATGTGCAGGTTTCTGTATATTAACTGTGCCTCAATGAAGCTGTTTTCCAAATAATAGAGGAGGGAGCCGCTCCTATCCCAGGAGGGGGCTGTTTCCCCGGCAGCAGCAGGTCGCTCGGACCAGCACTGCTCAGCCTCAGCACTGTGGACAGTTCTTTGTTTGGGGGCTGTCCTGGGCATTGCGGGATGCACCCCTGGCCTCTGCCCATGCGATGCCAGGAGCTCCCCCTGCCTTCCTCCAGCTGTGACAGCGAAATGTTTCAGGCACTGCCAAATGTCCCTGGAGGGCAGAGTCGGCCCTGGTAGAGACCCCTCGACCATGGCAGCTTCACACACAGGCTCATGAAGACCTGAACAGGGCACATGACCAGTAAGCAGACCCTGGGGCAGGTGAGTGTGGTGGGGGAACCTGCACGTCGAGGCCGCGGTCCCTATTCTGCTCTGCGGCCTGGCTGGCTCAGGACCCCGTCCTGGCTCTGTGTGGCCGCAGGAGAACCGAAGGGAAAGTTCAGAAGTTTGGGCGCATTATCGGCAAACTGAGATACACTCTTAAGCCCCAGGCAAATATAAGGGATGCTTGTTAACGCTTTCTTGGAATAAAATTAAAACAATCATTATATTATGGGCACAAACATGTCCATAGGGCCACTGTTCATAACAGTACAAACTGGAAGCACCCCAAATATCCGTCGACAGTGGAATGGGTGAGGGAAGCACGGCATTTTCCTACGAGGAATCCTATACAGCAGTGAAAATGAGCAGACCACAGCTTCACACAACACAAGTGGGTCTCACAAACATCATGGTAAGTAAAAGTATATATTCTGTAGGTTGCAATTTATATAAGGTTAAACGTGGGCAAAATTAAAGTTCATTGTATAGAAATGAATTTCTAGATGGCAACACCATAAACACCAAAGAAGTGATCATCGTAAAAGTCAGGGTCAGGGCTACCCTGAGTGGAGAAGGGAGAGCTAACAACCAGGAAGGGACAGGGTGGCTTATGGGTGCTAGCTGTGTTCTAACTTTTCGCCTTAGGTATTTACACATGCGTGCCAGCTTTACGATTATTTGTTAAACGGCATGTTTACATTTTTTTCACTTGTTCATACATATATATGCTGGATTTCACAATAAAAAAATATTTTAAAGAGTGTTTTTGGCTGGCAGCCCTGACACACTCCCTGACACACTCCCTGACACACTCCCTGTGATTGACCGGGGCCGGGGAAGTCTCGTTCGCCATAGTGGGAACCCTCCCACCACTCCCCACTGGGACTCACAGAGTGGTCAGCTGGCTCATGTTGGTGAAGGAGGAGTTGCTTAAGGAGCTGATCTTGTTGTTACTTAGGTCCCTGGAAAAGACAAGAGCCCCCGACAGACGGTTTCATAGTAAGAACTGCCCCGACACTGGTCCTCCTTCCCTCCTTGCCTTCTCAAGTGCATCTGAGCCCCTAGGGGAGCTGCCTCACATTAGACCAAAGAAAGGTCGTCTCTCTCTTTGGCCCTCTGTCATCAGCCACCAAATCACTCCCCCCACCTCCCTACTCCTGCCCCTCCCCACCACACACACATTGGAACAGTCAAAACACATTTGCTACAATTGTGAGCAAAGTCAGATAAACTGTCAAAATTCTGTAAGTCACCCAGCCAGCGTGGCTCAGTGGTTCAGCACCGACCTATGAACCCGGAGGTCACGTCACAGTTCAATTCCTGGTCAGGGCGCATGCCTGGGTTGCAGGGTCAATTCCCAGTGTGGGATGTGCAGGAGGCAGCCGATCAATGATTCTCTCTCATCATTGATGTTTCTCCCTCTCTCTTCCTCTCCCTTCCTCTCTGAAGTCAATAAAAATATTTTTTTAAAAAAAATCTGTAAGCCAGTGCTGCTCTAAGTAGTCAGTCCTTGAACTGAATATTCCATACAAGGAACTTGTGCCAAAATGTGACCTCCTAGGACAGTGATGGTGAACCCATGACACACGTGTCAGAGGTGACACGCGAACTCATTTTTTTGGTTGATTTTTCTTTGTTAAATGGCATTTAAATATATAAAATAAATATCAAAAATATAAGTCTTTGTTTTACTATGGTTGCAAATATCAAAAAAATTTCTATATGTGACACGGCACCAGAGTTAAGTTAGGGTTTTTCAAAATGCTGACACGCCGAGCTCAAAAGGTTCGCCACCACTGTCCTAGGACACTAAACACAACTAACTGTAGCTAACATGTCCTTCATAGTGAGACTTCCTCAATGAAGGAACCAAAATGTGGGTCACATTCGGTGCAAGTCCCTTATCGAGTGTGGACCTAGTACAAGCAGTCCTTGGGCTGCTGCCGGCCCACAGACCACACTTGGCGTCGCGCTGCTCCAAGCCACGCTAAGATGGAGCGTTCTCAGGACTTCTTTTTTGGTAGAATCTGGCCAATGAGCAGATAAAGGCAACTGAAGGGAGGTGTTAATTAGGCTGGGAGGCTAAGAAGAGCTAATTTGTTCTGAGGTCTTGTTTGTTCTTTATCCTCACCTGAGGATATTTTCCCACTGATTTTTAGAGAGAATGGAAGAGAGAGGGAAAGACAGAGAGAAATATCAATGTGAGAGAAACACATCAACTGGCTGCCTCCTGCACACGCCCTGACCAGGGCCTGGGCCCTGGAGAAGCCTGCAAGTGAGGTACATGCCCTTGACTGGAATCAAACCCAGGACCCTTTGGTCCACAGGCCGATGCTCTATGCACTGAGCCAAACCCTCTAGAGCAGTGGTTCTCAACCCAGAAATCAGGATTTTAAAAAGCTTCCCAGGTGATTCTAATGTGCAGCCAAGGTTGAGAACCATTGCTCTAGAGCCTGAGGTTTATTTTGTATTTTTTCATGAGGTCAAAACAGAAAAGCTCATGTTAGTCTCAAGAAAAATTTAGTTACAGATACTTATTTGTAGCACCCATATTCCATATTTGGTTTGGGGGCTTAGGTTGGACTGAGAAATTCCCCATAACCCTCTACATCTGCCCTGCCTCCTGCCTTTGCAAAGCTGACCAGCATTAACAATAACTATCAGCCTAGAAGGCGGTTTGGGGAGATGGTGTGGAACAATGCAACTCCAAAGCATGACCACTAGGTGGCAGAACTGCTCTATGCACAGATGTTCCCAGAGGGAAAGGGTGAAAATTAAACAAAAACAAAAACAAAAAACAGAATCAACACAAGTGGGGTCAGTGGGGAATTCCAGTAAAACTGGAGCCACAAGGGTCAGATGCTGATGGCCCTCCTGTCCTCTGGGGCAGGTCTGGGGTCCTCAAGTCGCCTGGATACTCACACAAGCTGCAGGTACTTGTAGGTGGACAGCTGTCCCGGAACCAGCGTGAACTGGTTCCCGTCCAAGTAGCTACAGGAGAAAACACAACAGTTAGTGCACCATCTCTGCCTGCCCAGGCTGGGAGAACCTCTCCCTGCAGCCAGGGCCTCCTCGCTTGCGTTCTCTCCTTCTGGTAGACCACCAACGGCCCTGAATCGCTAACTGGGGGAGAAAATACATAAATCTTTTAGGCGTTTTGGGCAGGTGCCACCCAAAAAACTTGGTAAAAGCCACTGAGACATGAAGCCTCCTTTGGCTCCCTTTCCGCTCCCCTGTCTCGCCCTCTCAGCCTCCTCCCCTGTGGGCACTGCCCGTGTTCAATCCTGGGCTCCTGGCAAGCTGCCTTCTGTCCTGCCAACCTTCTGGGACCCACTCTATGCATTGCCACTCAAGTCAGAGTCCATAAAGCCACGCCCATCCAAAATTCCCCTAAAACTTCCCCAAAGCGTAGAGCTTGGGATTCAAGGAGCTTCAAGCCTGCCCTTCTTCCCCCACCATCACTGACACCAGCCATCCTTGCTAAGCAGTGACCCAAGTGCCAGCTGCTGACGCCCCAGCTGGGCTCCCTGCACAGGACCCTCACCAACTGCAGCCCTCAGGATGGCTCCAGCTTCAGGAGTAGCAACATCAGCACTGTCCTCGCCCTGACCCATCCCTCTGTTGTCACACAAAGTGACTTCCTGCTCCCCCATCTCATTGGTTCTGCTCAGCAGCCCTTCAAAACACCAAGTAGCCCCATTTTACAGCTGGGAAACTGAGACTGAGAAAAGTCAAGTGGCTTTCCCAGCATCCTTAGAGTTGCAATGAGACACCAAGGAGAAAACTGGGATTCTGACGCTGCGACAGAAAACTGGGCAGGCGATGAGGTGGGCGAGTGGCTGGACAAGGACTGCAGTGGTCGATGTGTGTGTGTGTGAAGAAATAGCCAGCCTTGTTGGTAATGGAAGAATAAAATGAAAATTTCATGCTCTCCCCATGGAGAAAAGCTTGGCTACGGAGGCCTGGAGGGACCAATCCCAGGGGACAGTAGAGCTGGGGGTTGACCACAGCCTTCCACTGGGAAGTGCCTGTTGAAGAAGCCGGGCCTGCCATTCCCATCCTCGCCCACATGAGTTCAGATACCAAACCGGACGTCCACCACACACCCAGTGCTGATGGGAGGGCAGGCGGGCCATTGCCAACACGGCTAGCGGCAGTAGGAAGGAAACACTTTTCTGGAAGGCCGTCAAAGGCAGCGGGAGCCCTGACAATACACCGTTCTTTGGCTAACCTCTTCCCGAAGGGACACTCATCTCAGCGTTATTCATGATAGTAGAAAAATGGAGACAATTTAAATATCCAGCAAAGAGGGATCTGTTATACAGTTCATCATAGAGTCATGTGAGGGAATATTATGCAGCCAGTAAAAATCGCTTTTGTGAAAGTTTTCATTGCAGAGCAGAATGCTCATGAGATGATGTAAAGCGAAAAAAATTAATGTTATTTCTTCTTTTAAAGGCAGAGCTTAATTTAAAGGAATGAAGCGCTTGCCACGGGTGACTCACGCCATCGGGGGATGCAGAGGGGGGTCAAAGCAAAGCTCAAAGGCTTCTGGGAACCAGTGTCGCTGCAAGGCCCTAACTCAGTGATGGCAAACCTATGACACGCGTGTCAGAGGTGACACGCGAACTCATTTTTTTGGTTGATTTTTCTTTGTTAAATGTCATTTAAATATATAAAATAAATATCAAAAATATAAATCTTTGTTTTACTATGGTTGCAAAGATAAAAAAATTTCTATATGTGACACGGCACCAGAGTTAAGTTAGGGTTTTTCAAAATGCTGACACTGCAAGCTCCAAAGGTTCGCCATCACTGATCTAACTCCAGGCTGCTAGTCAGCTGATATCTGCCCTGGCACCTTCTCCTACTCACAGTTCGGTGACGTTCTTGGGGATGCCCTTGGGCAGGCCCTGGAGGTGCTTGTTGCTGCATCGGACCACGGTGTCCAGGCAGGCGCACTCCTGGGGGCACTGTGGGCGGGGCAGGCAGCTCCCCTCCTCCTGGCCTGGGGAAGAAGCCACGTCAGTGAGGGGCAGGCCTTCGTAGTGCCTCCTGTATCCAGGGCCCTGTGTGGGGAGCCTCAGAACAGAAGCCCCTCCCGGACCCTCCCTCAGGCACCAGAAGGCTCCTCTTGGCTGTGCCCCTCCCCCGCCAAGGACAGAGCCCCTTGGACCTGTTGTGAGGTTAATACAGGTCTTGGATCAATCTCTTCTACGTGGACCCAAGGTGGCCCTGGGCACAGCAGAGAAGAGGATGGCAGCCACACGTTTTCTTGAGCACCTACTATGTGCTAGACACTATCGAACAGTCTCCTTAGCAGTGCAGTAAGGGGTGCCACTCTCACCCCTAGAAGGTATGAGGACAGAGACGTGTCTCTTCTTTGTTCACTGAAGGAGCCTAGTACCCAGAGCGGGGCCTGGCACACAGGAGCCCTCCCAATAGGTCCGTGGGATGGGTGAATTTCTCCTTGACTGAGATCTGGGGAGGTTAACAAACTTGCTCAGGTCTGGAGACCAGTTAGGAGCAAGGTGGGCTCCGTACCCATTGCATATGCCGGACAGAATGAACCCGTAAGCCTGCAGCACCTGGAGCAGCCAGGGGGCAGGCCTCTGGGTTAAATGTACTTAGATCAAGAAAACCTACTAACATGTTAAGTGGGACTTTCTCGAGAGACGGATACTTGGTAATGTTTACTTTCTTTTTTATTATCCATATTTTCCCATTTTAAAAACAATAAGCATATTATTGCTCTTATATCACACACCACCACCAGGCAGGGGTAGGGTGGGTGCAGCACTGAGAGCTGCCTCCCTGCTCCTTGCTCCTCCCCATCAACAGAGCCTCCCTCCCACCGACCTCTCCACTCAAGGGCCTGTCACAGGGCGCTACCCACCACTCCCCTCCCTCTGGCCTGGCCCAGCTCTCCCTCACCTGCCTCCCGGGGGGGGGGGGGGGGGCGGGCAGGGCATCCGAGTTACCTTCCTCACACCTGAAGTCCGGGAAGGCCACGTCCTGCAGGGGAATCTGCCGCAGGAAGTCTGGGTTCTGGCACCTCGGGTTCCCGGTCACGATCTTCCTCTTCCGCAGCCAGTCGCCCAGCCAGGCCAGCTGGCAGTTGCAGTTGAAAGGATTGGCCAGGAGGTTTCTGGAAGAGACAGCTGGTGTGACCACGCAGACACCCGCCCGTCTCGGCTCCCCCAGCAAAGCCCTCTGCTGTCCCCACGCACTGTTCACACCGCCACCCACACTCCCCCAGACACCCAGCCAGCCACTCGCCCAGGGCAGCATTCCAGCCTGGTGAGCCCCAGGTTTCAACACACCACGGGGACCACACATCCCCTGAGTTTGTCCTTTAAAGTAACCAACAGGGAGACATGCCCTGGGAGGGCGGGTGGGCGACGTTCCCAGGTGCAGATGCTGATGCCAGAGCCCCGGCCCACGAGGACTGCGCTGAGCAGAGGGCTGGACTTACAGCGTGGAGAGGGCCTGCAGGGTGTCGAAGGCTCCGGGGGAGATGGTGGCGATCTGGTTGTCGTAAAGCGAGAGGAGGCGGACGTTGCGCAGGCCCGTGAAGCTGTCGTTGTGGATGCAGCTGATACGATTGTTCCTCAGCATCCTGGGGCGGGTGGGGGAGAGCCCACGCTGTGCCCTGTGGCCATCTGCCCGAGAGGGGCATTGGCCACCACCAGCGAGTTCACAGATTCTCCCCGGGAGGCACTGAGCCCCAGCACCTGAACCCTTCACACCTGTGCCCCCTCCAGACCCTCCAGCCCGTATGGCCTCACCGCAGCCCTCTCCTTCACTCCCTGGGTGCCCAGTGCCTCCTCCGCTTCCAGGCCATGCTCCACCTCAACACCAGAGAGACTTTCCTCAAACCTAACCCAGTCGTGTCCCTCTTCAGCCAAAGCCCTCAGCAGCCTCCATACTGCCCACAGAATTATGTTTAAACTAGAGGCCCAGTGCACAAAAATTTGTGCACAGGTGGGGTCCCTCAGCCCAGCCTGTGCCCTCTCACAGTCTGGGACCCCTCGGGGGATGTCCACCTACTGGCTGAGGCCTACTCCCCGGGGGATTGGGCCTAAGCTGGCAGTCAGACATCCCTCTGGCAGCCCGGGAGCCCTCAGGGGATGTCCACTTGCCAGCAGGGAGCAGGCCTAAGCTGCAGTCAGACATCCTTAGCGCTGCTGAGGAGGTGGGAGAGGCTCCCGCCACCACCGCTGTGCTGGCAGCCCGTCAGCCTGGCTTGTGGCTGAGCAGAGCTCCCCCTGTGGGAGTGCACTGACCACTAGGGGGCAGCTCCTGCATTGAGTGTCTGCCCCCTGGTGGTCAGTGTATGTCATAGTGACCAGTCATTCCCAGTCGTTCTGCTGTTAGGGTCAATTTGCATATTACCCTTTTATTATATGCCTGGTGCACAGGTGGGGGCCAGCTGGTTTGCCCTGAAGGGTGTCCCGGATCAGGGTAGGGGTCCTGCTGGGTGCCTGGCCAGCCTGGGTGAGGGCTGAGGTCCGTTTTCAGGCTGGCCA